GACGGAGGCGGGATAGTACCTCTCGAGAAAAGCTTTCTTCATGGCCGCCCATGTACCTATACTTCCCGAGGGAAGATAGAATAACCAATCCTTTGCGGTGTCTTTGAGGGAGAATGGAAAAGCCCTCAGCTTGATTTGCTCCTCGGTAACTCTGTTGGGGCACATGCTTGTGCAAACAACATGGAACTCCGAGAGGTGTTTATTCGGATCCTCCCCTCTTAGGCCATGGAAGGACGGCAAAAGATGAATGAGCCCAGATTTCAGCTCAAATGTATTACCCTCGTTGAGTGTAGGGAAGGTGATACATAACGGTTGTTGATTCAAGTTCGGAGCTGTGAGCTCCCTCAAAGTTCTTGTTTCTTGAGCCATAGTGATTGGCTCTTCAGATTCGCTAGAACTGGAGCTAGCGTTTGAGGATTCCTCCGAGGGTGTGTGCGGAAATAAATTTCTCAACCTCTCGAAGGTTTGTTCTATTTCGGGGTTTGCTTGATAAGTGATTTCGTTTATGGAACGATATCAGACCATATACTTCACAAAGCTCAGAAATAGAAAAATAAGAACTCTTTATATTTTTAGTTAATTTTTTTTTTATTTTTCTTAAAATAAATTAAAAAGAAAAATAATTGCCTTTCCCTGGCAACGGCGCCAAATTTGACGTGCACTTTGTCGTGGTGTGCACTCAAAGTAATTATACAATACAACACTAATACGTAGTATAGTGTAGTAAGGTTCGTATCCACAGGGAAAGGAATATTTCTCTTTTTATATAACTAGTAACAAAAGGGGGGGTTTAGGTTTGAATGATTTAATTTAATTAAATACAAAGATGAACGACTTATATGAGTTTAATTAATGGAGATTAAGACTTGATTTTGCTTTTATCCACTTAATGAAATGTTCGTCGATCCCGGTTATATCTTTTAACTATCTTCCTCTCTAATACTCAATCGAGGAGTATATCCAGTTCATCGAGGGTAGTTATTAATAACGAGATGCATTCATTAACAAAACTTACTATCGAGTTAATATAGAACAAGCGCCATATATTAACTTGATAGTAGCAATAAACTTAAGATGAAAATGATTGAGATTGATAACCTCAACACAAGCGGTTTATTGGTTTAATCAATATAATTAATTCCCCTTGGCTTATTAACCATGAGAAGCATGCATTAACAATCCAAGTTTACTACCATTGAAAGAACCGAATTAATAACAAGCGTATTAACCGATTGATTCTAGTAATAATTAATATATAGAACAAGACTAGTTGATACTTTAAGTAATGCTCAATATATTAATATGGGATATGAATAGGAAGTAATTAATATTCAAGGAAGAAGATTAAAGAAAATAACTCACAACTTACAAATCATTAAGCTTCAAAGTAGCAAAACCAAGATGGAAGAGTTTAGCTCCTCATTTGGAGACTAAACATGATAAAAATATAAAGAAAGAACTTGTCTAAACTGAGCTAAGAAGTATATAGGAATTGGTGCTTTATTGTGGAAGAAATGGGGTGTATTTATAGGCTTTTTAGGCCTGCAGGGTCGTGTACCCGATCGGGTATATAGGGTACTCGACCGGGCCTTCAGTTGCTTCGCGGAAGCTGGAAAAACATGGACATACCCGATCGGGTATGTCGGCTACCTGATCGGGTATAGACACTCGATCGTGGTTAAAATCTTCCCTGCATGTTGCCTTGTTCCCGGGTTGATCCGATTTGATCTTTCAGCGACTTACCGATCGAGTATAGGGCATACTCGACCGGGTACAGTACCAAAAATCAGGATCTTCATCTTTTCTTAGGGTTTTTTTTTGCACCTTCCTTCCACTTGTGATGTTCATCAATGGTCCCTAGAGTGGATTTGGACCTGTTTGAGCTCAGAATGAACCTAATCTAAACAATTTACAAACATTTTACAAACTAAACTATTACACCAAAAGTGTGTAATTTCTAGAGTAACAATCACTCAAAACTAATCAAAAACACAACTATAACCATGAAAATAGCATGAATGTCATTAGTATATACGTAGTACATTGTATCTAATTAAGTTTCTATATCTCTAATTAAATTCAATGACCGTTTTCAATGATGTCCAATTTTAAAGGCAAAAATACTCATGAGAGTAATAGATGAAGAAGAATCACAAGTAATATAATATTCGTGGCATACATCAAAGAATGTTCTTTAAAAACTTATAGACACTATTTCATCATGAATGTAAGACTTAGTTCTAATTCATACCCCAAATAATCTCAATGACATTTTTCCACGAGTAGCAAAGAAGAAATATCAAGCAACAAATATATGACTTAAAATCATGATGATGGGTTATTTTGACTTTTAAGAGCATATATTTTTGAAAACTTTCATGAAATTTGACAATCTATGAAGTTAAATAATTATTCGGCCTAACTAATCTCAATGACATTTATTCAGCAAGTAGCAAAGAAGAAATATCGAGCAACATATATGGCTTATCATCATATGATGACATTTGATCATCTTGAATTTTAGGAGTATATGTTTTCGAATACTTTCATCAGATTGAAAATTATATGAAGTTACTAGCGTTTCATTGCGCAAGGCACAAGAGCCTTTGCCCAATGTTGAAGTAAAGTTCTTGTGTGCAAATAAATATTATATGTGATTTTGTTGAAAGATATAAATACTTTCATTGAACAAGCTAGAGAGTGGTTATTAGTAAAATATACATAGTATATGGAGTACTCCCTAGCTCCATTCTTTAATAGTTGCAATATTATGATTTTTGCACTACTCAAACACCTTACTTTGATCACGAATTTGTACTAAAATATATAATCAAATTATTTTGTAATAAGTTGACAAATGTGAGAGTCAAATTGTTGCAACTATTAAGTAAAAAATAGTACTGCCTCTACCCCACTAAGGATGTTTTTACTTGGACTGTAATTTGTCCCAGACCAGACCTGATCACGAATTTGTACTAAAATATACTACCTCCGGTTTTTTTTAATCTTCACAGTTTGACTTCACACAAAATAAGGAAATAAATTTGACTTTACTGTAGAGTACACTGTTGAGGCACTGTTTGACACTGTTTGGCACTGTAGAGACACTGTATGGCACAATTGAGACACTGTTTGGCACTGTTTTGATGTAGATATCTTTGCCAAAAAAGGAAATAAGGAAGTGTGAAGTTTATTTTAGACCGTCCCAAAAAGGAAAGTGTGAAGTTAATTAAAAACCGGAGGGAGTATAATCAAATTATTTTGTAATAAGTTGACAAATGTGAGAGTCAAATTGTTGCAACTATTAAGTAAAATAGTACTGCCTCTACCCCACTAAGGATGTTTTTACTTGGACTGTAATTTGTCCCAGACCAGACCAGACCAGTCCAGACCAGACCAGACCAGACCAGACCAGTTCAGACCAAACCAGACCAGACCAGACCAGACCAGTTATAAAAATACAAAGAAACTAGACCAGACCAGACTAGTTCAGACCAGACCAGACCAGATCAGACCAGACCAGATCAGACCAGACCAGACTAGCAAATTACAGTCCAAGTAAAAACATCCTAACTTTGAGAGAAGAGGAGGTGACACTATTATTAAAAAAAGAGAAAACAATCAAATAGGTCCTCAAACTTTCATAAAAATGTCAATTAAGTCCTTCTATAGGAGGTTCTGTCCGGCCGTCACGATTTGGGGCAGTTTCCGTTGGACTTTTTTGATGAAATTTTTTGAGTATCTTATTCACCAAGTCTAGTTTACTCATACCAAATTCAGCTAAAAATTCAATTGGGAACACATTCAAATTAATTCTTGAAGATAATTGCGCATTTCTGAATTCTCGAATTAATTTGAATGCGCTCCCGATTAAATTTTTAGCTAAAATTTGGAATGAGTAAACTAGACTTGATGAATAAGATGCTCAAAAAATTTCATCAAAAAATTCCACCGGGAACCGCCCCAAATCGCGACGACCGGACAGAGTCTCCTATAGAAGGACTTAATTGACTTTTTTATGAAAGTTCAAGGACCTATTTGACATTTTTCCCTTAAAAAAATGGTTTATATGATTTGTATCAAATTGATAAAGTAAGAATAAAGTAAGAATATACTCCCTCAGTCCCAAATTGTAAGATACATTTACTATTTACTTGGTCAACATAAGTCACTCTTTGCAGGTTTTGTAGCAGTTTTGATGTAGCTTGTGAATATGTAAATTTTATTTTCTAGAACGAATTTGAGTATTGATAGAGATCAATTTGCTTTATCGTCAGTCAAATATCGTAAAACGTAATGTATCTAACAAATTGGGACGGAGGGAGTAATGATTTACAACCACACAAACTTTACCAAATTTGGTATGAAACAATCTTAATGGAACGGTCCGAAAAAATGAAAGATAAGACAATGTTAGCGAGACGGATAAAATAAGATACTTAGTACTACACTTTCATTATATGTGATATTAAATTGCTTGAAATAGGCTTTTAGCAAAATAACGTAGTACTCTAGGCTTTTATTGTACCCAAGTTGACATCCTTGTGTATCAAAAACCTTAGATTAGCAACAGGGAAGAGGCGACACATTGTTAGTTTTCAAAAGTCGACTTGACGGAGTATTAACAATATAAACGTTAGGAAGAAAAGTAAGGGCATAGATGTCTTATTAAAAGCAGGGTTTGATTTTCTATAAGCAATGTACAACTTCTAATACATAGAGTGTGTTGACACAAGTTAAGGGTACCAACCTTCATTCACAATTATAATTTTGTTAGATAGATTATAATTTTGTTAGATTAGATTAGAAATATTATAAATATTGTTTGAAGAGGTAAAAAGTGAGAATAACCAAAACGTGAAGGGTAAAAACTGAATTTTAAAAAATGCAAAGTTGAACTAGTGATTTTGAGCTTACCTCGAGAGGTAATAGTAAATATCCCTTTATTAATTAAAGATTATATTGTGATCAAGTTCTCTCACATTGATATATTTGAGCAGGGTTGCATTTGGCCTAGGAATGTTTTTTCTAAAATATGGTGCAGACCCTAACAAAAAGTCCAAACTTTCATGTCATCTCATCTCTCACCGTGGCTGGCTATGGTATGGAGGATATTTGTGCTTAGGTCACGCTATATGTTTCACAATATTCTCTGGGTTTCGCATTCTTGCGAGGGGATCCTCGAGAGGAACAACCGAACAAACATAGTGTGAAGACCAATCAACTATTGAAAACAGAGTTTAACCATTTTACCTCAGAAGTTGGTCCTTATATGTCATATATACTCTCTAGTAGCTTGGCATGGCAGAAGATAAATTTGTATAACCCAACATTAATGTATCTATTGTAAGGATCTTATTTATTGGCTATGATATGAGAGAACATAATATACTAGTGATTATATGTAATATGATTATAAAATTCTCTCGATATACTGTTTATCTTTTCTTATTAATTTTCTGTTGAGTTTAATCCAACACGATATAATAAATATAGATATAAATTTGTATGAACTCTCGATCTTTATGTGGAAACCCAAAAGGGAGAAAATCATAGGACTTTTTGGACTAATGTCCTAGCCACTCTCATTCTCAATAATACTCTCCTCACCATTACAATGTACACATACAAGCTTCCATTTATAGAAAATAGAGGAGGGGTACTAGGTTGCCTTAATGGGCCAAAAAAGGGCCCAAGGGGCCGAAACAAGCCTGATAGGCCGAAATGGACCCCAGCATTTAAGCTTCGTACTTGGGTGATGTCTTAGGCTCTTGAACAGTAATAGACCGGGATAATATATCCAGCACAAGTCCCCCATTAGTGAGCTACGAATCTGCTCGAGAAATTATACTCTTGCTCTCACTCTTCCTTTGTCTTCCTTGAATGTGTGTCTTCGAGTAGTCTTGCTAGATGAGTGGTGTCTGGCCCTCTGAACATAATATGCCAGTAAGACCTCTCCCTCCCTAACGGGTCGGGAAAGAGATGCTCTTCCCAAGGCATTCTTCCCCTGACTGTCTCAAGCAAGAGTAAAGGACTCTGACTCGAGTTTTCTACCCGAGGAGCTTTAGAGGCTCATGCACAGATAAGCTTAATGACGTGGAAAAGATGAGCACAATGTATGTGTGTATGCATGAATGTATGAGACGCGATGTATGAATGTATGGATGAGTGCAATGTATGCATGCAATGTATGAGAGATGATGTGTCAGGTGTGATGTATACCATTTGCATCAGTTGTGACGGTGCTGACGGGCCGAGAATGCTGCATAAAACGACTGACCCCGTCCCAGAAAGGAATGGGCGATCCCAACCGTGAACTAGACATGATGACACTGAGGAGCCGATCGTGCCGCATAAAGTGGCGGTTCCCATCCTGAATGGCATGGGCGGACCCGACCGTGAACTAAACACGACGGCGCTGAGGGGCCGATCGTGCCGCATAAAGAGGCGGTCCCCATCCTAAATGGCATGGGCGGACCCGACCGTAACTAGACACGATGGCGCTGAAGGGCCAATTGTGCTACATAAAGCGGCAGTCCCCATCCTGAGTGGCATGGGCGGACCCGAACGTGAACTAAACATGACGGTGCTGAGGGGCCAATCGTGTAGGATAAAATGTCGGTCCCCATCCTGAATGGCATGGGCAGACCCAACCGCAACTAGACACGACTGAACTGAGGGGCTGATCGTGTTGCATAAAGCGGCAGCCCCCATCCTGAGTGGCATGGGCGGACCCGACTGTGAACTAGACACGACGACGCCGAGGGACCAATCAGGCTGCATAAAGCGACGGTCTCCATCCTGAATGACATGGATGGACCTGACCGTGAACTAGACACAACGGCGCTGAGGGGCCGATCGTCCTGCAAAACGCGGCGGTCCCCATCTTTGAAGGGAATGGGCGAGCCCGACCGTAAACTGGGCACGACGGCGCTGATGGGACTATCATCCTGCATAACGCGGCAGTCCCCATCCTGGAAGCGAATGGGTGAACCCGACTATAGACTAGACACGATGGCGTTGAGGGGCCGATAGTACTGCATGAAGCGGCGGTCCCCATCCTGGAAGGTAAGGGGCAAACCCAACCGCGAACTGGACACGATGGCACTGAGGGGCCGATCGTGCTACATAAAACGGTGGTCCCCATCTTACAAGGGAATGGACGAACCCGACCGTGAACGAGACATGATGGCGCTAAGGGGCTGATCGTGCTGCATAAAGCGGCGACCCCTATCCCGGAAGGGAATATGCAAGCCTAGCCGTAAACTCAGTACGATGGCGCGGAGGGGCCAATTTTCCTGCACAAATCCGGGATAATAGTACCCCTCCCTTGGCATAATGAGGCCGTCGAGCGGATACAATATCTGATGTACGTCTCCTTTTCCCATTTTTCCTTTGTTGTAACGTTGAAACATTTGTGTACTTTTTTGGCCGTCGGTGCCGATGAATAAAGGAACATTCTTTTATTTGTACCTAGTTGTTATCTCGTTCGTCCTCCACACCTCCTCACCATTTGTCTCGGCTCGGCCCGCTAGGCTCGGCTACAGACCCCTAGTGACGCATTCGAGGACTTGACCATTCCTCCGTTCTAAATCGTTTCTAGACGACCAACCTCGGAATCCCCAAAATTCCTCATCCAGACCCCCTCACCATTCGTCTCTTCTCGACGCGCTAGGCTTGTCTACAAACCCCTGGGGACTCGTTCGAGGAATGGACCATTCCTCTGGTCTGATCGTTTCTAGATGACTGACCTCAGAGTCCCCAGAATTCATCCTCTAGACCCCCTTACCATTCGTCTTGGACCGACACGCTAGACTCGGCTACAGACCCCTGGTGACTCATTTGAGGACTTGACCATTCCCTGGTCCGATTCGTTTCTAGACGAACGACCTCGGAATCCCCAAAATTCATCCTCCAGAGCCCCTCACCATTCACTCTATTGAATAGAAGAGTCACTCGAGGAAGTAAAAGACAATTTAATATAAATCTCATTTATAACTCATATGTGCATAACACAGAATTTATATTCAAAGGTTGAAAAATAAAAGAGTCATTTGTGCCATCAAAACAAGAGTGAAAGAAGAGTCATATGAAACGGACTATTATCAAAGTCACAAAATAACAAAGAGTCGGGCTTGAGTACGTGCAATCATTGTTTTAAAACTCATTAGGCACTAGTCAGGCGGTTGAGAGGCGCCTAGCGCCTAGGCGGCCGACTAAGCCATTTTTTTGGCTGACTAAGTTTGTTAGTTATCTACATTTAGGGCCAACTAGTAGGTCGAACTAGGGCGATTTTTAGAGCAGTGAGTGCACTTAACAACTCAGTAATCTCTACTATTGACCAAGAGGTGAAAATCAAGAAGTACGAAGGAGAGACACTTGGACCTCACTGTATAGAAGTGCATATAATGCTTTCTATGAACATTGTCTCTACTAATTAATCAAGTTCTTGAAATGAATGATGGAAATCGAGTACTTACAAAAGCTCAAAAACAACTATTGATTCATCACATGTGTTGAGTATGGGCTTTCACAACATTCCTTAAAGAAGACGTGATCTCGTGAATGACAAATAATTCAAGCTCAACCAGCGAGATGGGAAGATCAGAAAAACTTTTCAAGAACTTTCCTACATCAATAGTATAAGTCATGTGTAGTATAAAAATAGAGGGAGTATGTTTGAAGAAAGTTGTGTACCTAAACACAACAAGAGCTTATGAAAATCTATCTAGTAAAAATAAAGTATTAATCAATCAGACTACACTTAAATTTGGTTGGTTGTCTAGACATGTGTGTGCGTGTGATCTTTTTCGGATTTGACTATGATGTCTTCAGCAGTCCACTAAACACCATAAATAGTATCACTTTATTGGATCAGTGGTCATCCTCAAACCTTACCAATGAAGATTTGATTTCATCAATTGACTTCACTTTGATCCTGTCATATTTTGGCCATGATGCGAGTTCAATATTTTCAACGTATTGATTTATCCTTCATACGAAACTTGAATGATATGATTTTAAGTAGTTTACAAAAAGATATGCTAAAATAATATTCCCCCCATCCCGCTAATATTGTCTCATTTTCGTGTTCGGGAAATTCCACCAAGATTGTACCATACCAAATTTTGTCAAGATTGTGTGTCTCTAAATCATTTTTACTTTATTCTTACTTTATCAATTCAATACAAAAGACATAACTCACTTTTCTTAATAATCGTGTCACTCTCTCATGTCCCAATGTTAGTGGGACGGAGGCAGTAGAAATAATGTGACCCTGATTCAAGATATCGAGTTGAGTGTGTTATATAAAGTTCAATAAAATTCACATGAAATAGGAATATGAATACTTGAATGAAACTGAGCCCAACTAATCATTGTCTCCTAAACATGAATTTGATCACAACACAAGTAGCAAATCACCTCCCAGGATAGAACGGTTTTTATAGAGTTCCCGAAGGACACCGTCGAACTCAAAGATGCAGCGTTTTAATTGAGGATTAAAGGAAGATAATAGAGATAATAGGAGTATCTTCGGACACTAAACTCACATGCAATAAGACATATTTATAGAGTTCTCTGGCCAGACTCTATACTGAAAGACACCTAATACAAGGAAAGTTGTGACATTTCTTTCAAATGGAATATACATGTGTATTATGCCAAGAGTTTTTCCGAAAAATAGAGCAAAAAAGATAGGAAATTGTCTCTAAACCATATGCAGACGAGTGGATCAAGACCCGAACCCAAAACCCAACATTGCTGTCCAGACAACGGCGGCGGTGCATGTGTGTGAGATATAATTCCACAGTTATCTTTTGGGGAAAATTTCTCATTCATTTCAAAATGGTTTTCTACAAATAATATAGGGAAATGTTCATCTCATGGAGTACAATATGTTAGGACTTAGTCCTATTCAAAGATGTGCATCCTTACATATTTTAGCTCCAAAATGATAATAATATTGATTTGTATACCCATTTTTTCACATGAATGAGAAATTGGCTTAAAGATAGGAAACATATTAGAATTTGACAAAGGAAGATGAGAACTCTGCATGGGGTTAGGTAGTCGTGAAACTTTGAAACTGCCTTAGTGTATATCCATTAGATTTAGAAAGAATTGCAAAACTATTACCTATAAGGTTTAGATGGATAAAAATATAACCGCTTCAAAACTTGACAAAAATATGACCTAACATTTCTCTCAGCAAGCATCAAACCCCTTCTGCCCTTCATCTAGAACTTAGCGTGAAGTTTCAGCACCAGCTTTGTCTTTGTTACAGAGCCACCCCCCACCGGCCGCAGAACCACCACCGCCTAAGATCCAGCACCGTCGTCCCCCTCCCCTCTCCTTCTGTTTTTTTGTTTCCTCTCTTTCTGTTCTGTCAATGGAGAGGTAGATGAGAGTCAAACCACTGCCACCACGTCTTCATCCATTGAGGCTTGCTGTCATATCGCTTGATACCAGATGGCTTAGTTATCACAAGTGCTAGTGCTTGGTTTTCATTTTGAGTTTCATCCGAGATTCGATATGCGTTCGGCGATGGCGGCGGCGAGGTGGCAGGGGAGCGGAGGCGCATCTAAATCTGGACGGTTAAGGTTCTGTGTGATGATGCGGCGGTGGGGGAAGGGGCTAGGGTTGGGAAGGTGGGCTGAATAGGTAGTTGGCTGCTGTGAAGGGTGTTGGGGATGGGACTGTGAGAGGGGAGGGGATGGGGATAGTTGGGGAGGGTGCAGGCAGGGGGGCACCTAGGCTGGTGGAATGTGTTTGGAGAAGTGTTCAATGGGTTTGGGGTGCTGGGGAGCGTGGCCATTGATTGTTGGGGCTAGGCAGTGGTCACAAGATGAAGCGGTACGGTGGTGGTGTCACTGTGGTCGGCGGCGATGACCGGCGGCGGCAATGACACGAGCGATGGCGGCTGAAGTGACACGAGGATGGCGGCGACAACAGTGACACGGGCGATAGCGGCAATGACATCCGACAGTGACATAAAAATGTGGCAGTGACATGAATATTATGTTGTCACTTTATTTTAGTCACATTTTTGTCCAAATGTAAAAGTGATCACATTTTTCGAAATCAAGCCTTAATTTAGTAATATTCACGAAATAACTCCTTGACAATAAATAAATCATCAATGTTACGTATACCTAGACAATAAATAACACACAGAGCCTCGAGTGCATCTTTGATTCTCACAATAACTAACTCTCATGCCTAGGAGGTAGAATCTCATAGAAGCAACTTCATTCCACTAGCATAGGTGATCTCTATGAAATGTATCATGTCATATTTTACTTGAATGCATCAAGATATATATATATATATATATATACATATATATATGTATATATATATATATATATATATATATATATATATATGGTTCTAGTGAGAACCACTCCTAAAATGGGAACTCTTTAAAACAAGAACTTTCAATCTCTACCTTTCATTTATTGCAATGATTGGTTATGATTCACATGGGGTCACATTCATAATTACCCTAAATTCACATGGGACCCTTTGCAATTAATTCTGAATAATTACAAAAATGACACCTTGTCATTATTAGCCATTGATTGCAAAATTGAATGATAGAGATTAGAAGTTCTCATTTTAAAAAAAGTTCTCATCTTAAGAGGGGTTCTCACTATATATAAATATATATATACACACATATATGGAGAGGGTTCTAGTAGAACCCCTCTTAAAATGAGAACCCGTGAGAACCGGTGAGAACCGGTGGTATTTTTGGCTGAATTTTTGTGTGTATGTTCCTCATCAAGTCTAGTTCATCCATACCAAATTTGAGCAAAAAATTCAATCGGGAAGGTCGTCAAATGATTTTTGAAAGAAAACTGGTCCGGAATATACATATAAAATGCAATTTTCTTGAAACAAAACTGGTCCGGAATAACACAAATGATTTTTTCAAGTTAACTGGTCCGGAAAATACATAGTCCGGACCAGTTAACTTGCAAAAATCATTTGACGACCTTCCCGATTTAATTTTTGGCTGCAATTTGGTATGGATGAACTAGACTTGATCAGGAGCCTACACAAAAAATTTGAGCAAAAAATACCACCGGGAAGGCCCCCAAATGGAGGAGGCCGGACGGGGCTTCTGTCCGGAATATGTATTTTCCGGACCAGTTAACTTGAAAAAATCATTTGACGACCTTCCCGATTGAATTTTTGGATGAAATTTGGTATGGATGAACTAGACTTGATGAGGAACATACACAAAAACATTTGAGCAAAAAATACCACCGGGAAGGCCCCCAAAAGGAGGAGGCCGGACGGCGCTCCGGTCAGGAATTTCCTGACCGGAAGATTACTCTCTCTCTCTCTCTCTCTCTCTCTCTATATATATATATATATATATATCACTAAAGACATAACTTACCCTAAATGCTAATTTTAAGGAAGTGCCAAGTTAGTACTACCCTCGTCCCCCTAAGTTTGGGACAAAGGGGTGGGTGCTAGACAAAGTCAGGGGAAGGAATGAGTAATACTTTAATTTGCTCAATGAGGTGAAATTGGTGAAATTCAGATTGATGTGACTAAATTGACAAAATCTTAAAAAACTGTGAAAAACTTATATGAAAAATATGATTTATTAATGAAATAAACAAAAAAAAGTATATGAAAATAACTTAAACGTCTATCTTCAACAATATTATCAATTTAAAAAGTAATTCAAAACTTATTTATTTTAATTATCAAAAAATTCAACACGAGTGTCATGAGCAAAAAAGTTGTGTAGTACTTAAGTAATTATTAGCTTTCTCCTAAATTGAATGTCTTGTTGAAGTTTAAGCATAATAAATTAAAATAATACTACGTATGAATTACATATTTCACTGATTTTTTGGATTAAAATTATTAGCTTTCTGACATTGTTTTCTAGTTTTGTTGGATTATCTTATTTAGAGCAGGAGGAACACATGCACTGGGAGCATGACACTACGGATGATATTGAGGATATAGCAATACACAAACTCATATTTAACTATGAAGTTCACAAAGCCTATGGCGAGAAACAAGATTCCCTTTCACTTGAGAAACAACCACAACTTCCACTCGTTCAGGCCTACTCTGATGCCTCGGACAACTTTGACTATTCTGATGATTCCTTTTTCCGAGACAATTTTCTAGGACATGCGACTGAAAGCGAACGTCGTCCTCCTTTATCACACCAAGAAGAAATTGGGAACTCCAAATTCAACAGATCGATTTGTCACAAAACAAAATTCGTCACCCCTGAGAACTATTTGCCAACAAACAACCTAAACACACAACTCAAACTTTACAGGAAATCTCAACAAAACAAAAGACGACACAACATGAGGACTGGATCACAGTCAAGAGATTTCCCTTGGGTCTAGCTTTAATTTTTTATATTCTCTTTTTATTTTTATGAATAAAATCGTTCTTTTTCTCAAAAAAGAAGAAGAACGAAATGAATTACATATTTCATTATTTCTTGACAAAAAAGAAACATGACATTCATTTTAATATAATATCACGCAAAAACAAAAATATCATGCAAAAAAAGTGAATAAAACAATCAAAATAAGAAAACGATTAAGCCAGCTCATTTGTTAGCTAAAGCGTCTTATTCTTTGTCTGACTCACAATCTTAGCTTTGTTCTCCTCCTACTTTTATTGTATCGGTTTTAGAGCTAGTTTGGTAACACGAAAATCAGCTGATTCTGCTGAAATTTATGAAGTTCTGGCTGAAGTGGTTGATTCTGCTGATTTAAGAAAAAAATGTTTTTAAAATATATTTTATTAATATAATAAAGAAAAAATTATATGTAAAAATAGCTAAAATGGTCATCTACAGTAACTTCTGCCAAAACAGCCAGAAAAATTACTTCAACCTTACTTTTTTTTATTATTACACAATTCAACGCGCGAAAACAAAAGTTACATGTTTGGTGAAAAAGTTGACTGATAAGCCTGATAATGATAATGATAATTACGTCTTTCTTTCAAAAAACAACCAATATAAGACGAAATGAGTACTCCATATTTATTTTATCAATCCAGTTTGAAGTACACACTTTTCATATACACACATACACACTCATGTCTGTGTAAGGATTTTTTTGTCTGTACATGAGTGTGTATTTGCGTGTATGAAAATTGTGTAAGAATAGCATTTTTGTTATTTTATACTCCATAGGGAGTAAAATTCACTCCGTATTTTATAAAAAAAATCAACTGGTCAAATATTCGTACTGTATATTTCATATAGCCTTCAAGATAACAGTCCTGGTGTCAGCTGTCGTCATTTAGAGATGGGATCGGAGTCCAATAACGGCGAGGTGATATTGGGTGTCGACGGAGGCGCCACTTCCACAGTCTGCGTTTGCCTGCCACTCCTACGGCTACCCGACATTCCAGATCCTCTTCCCATCCTTGGCCGTGCCCTTACCGGTTGCTCTAACCAGAATAGCGTCGGTGGTACGTACATCGATGACCCCCTTCACTCCCGCATGTATAATACTACTTGCTTATAGTATCCGGTTTATACTCTTCGTCCCACTTGATTCAAGTCAATTTGATAGCAAAACACTTCCGTGCTGCACAGTAGTTGTTTTGCAGTTAATTTTAAATTCTATAAGCATCAATCGATGCCCCAAGTGCACTGAGGTTTTTACTGCCAGAATAGTGGCATGCATTGATAGTGGGAAGCTTGGAGCTTATGGCGTTTTCAGGGCCAGTTACCTAGTCCCTGTGCAAATACGGAGTGGAGAAGTATACAATTATACCACCTATTAATAATGTACACATAATAATTCAATACATATAATGTAAAAAAAAATCTATTTGTAGTTTTTTAATAATTTTTTTCATAAAATTTATTTGTAACTTACAACATACGGTGTAGTTGAGAAAATACATATTTGTAACACAAAAAATAGGACATCAATTTTAAGATTTCAATGAACATGTTTTCTTGCATTTTTGAAGAAAATCCATCCCTCCAGCTCTCAAGCTCTCACTTTCATGTGCCATTACAGGTAATAAAGCTTTCAATCTATCTTTTGACATTGTTGTATTCTGGTATGACTTCAGCATCCTTATAACCCAGCATAACTACAAGAAGAATCCCTAGTTAATGGCTAATTCCTTCTGAAACAAAATTGGTTTCAACAGTTCATATCAATTGCACAGTGTAATAGACATGACCTTTTCATCTACGATAAACAGCGCGCAATAGTATACGATATTTTAATTTCTTAATAAGAGGAGTTTGCTTTTCCCTGTATTATATTCTCAGAACATGCGTCAAAGGAAGCACTTGTAAAGGTCATGGAAGAAGCACTTTCAATTTCTGGAAAGAAACAATCATGTGTACGAGCAGTCTGTTTGGGATTATCTGGTATAAATCACCCAAGCGATCAGCAAAAAATGTTGAACTGGTTGAGGTTTGGTTCCTGATTCTTTAATCTTGTATTATTTTCCACTTATTGCATCTACACATTCAGTATAGCTGTATAGGCATGGAAGTATTTTGATAGATTTGGAAGTATAAAAGAAAGTGCAGCCCGGTGCACAAAGGCATCCCTGTAAGCTGAGGGTCCGGGGAAGGGTCCCACCACAAGAGTGTATAAAGGGAAAGCCTTCTGTCAAATTTTGAGAAGAGGACGCTCCCAAGACTTGATCCCGTGACCTCTTGGTCACACAGCAACACCTTAACTGGTGCACCAAGGCTCCACTAGATTTGGAAGAATATGGTTTGAAATGTTTGAAATTTATAAGCCTTAGACCCTTGGTCAAGGATGATCCTAAAGTTTGTCTGAAAATACTACACACTTCGTCCATAATGAACTTCAACTTTTCCAAATTTGGCTCTCACATTAAGAGGCTGTTTGGCAGCACTGTTTTTCGGCTTATCAGGCTTATCAGCCAACTTTTCACCAAACACGTAACTTTTACTTTCGCGCGCTGAGTTGTGTAATAAGCAGAAAAAGTAAGGTTGGAGTTACTTTTCTGGCTGTTTTGGCTGAAGTCACTGTAGATGACCATTTTAGCTATTTTTACATATAATTTTTTCTTTATTTTATTAATAAAATATATTTTAAAAATAATTGTTTCTTAAATCAACAGAATCAGCCAATACAGCCACTTCAGCCAGAACTTCAGGAATTTCAGCAGAATCAGCCAAAACAGACGATTTCCGTGCTACCAAACGGGCTCTAAGCTTCACCTTTCCTATTAAGAATTTAATTTTCTTTCCTTTTTAAATAAATTTCAACCACACAATTTTACTTTATTAATAAGCTTGCAAAACCAAAAGTGAACTTTATATTAGGGCAGAGAGAGCATAATATAAACAATCGAATTAATTCAAATCCAAAAGATTTACCGCTTACATTATCTATCAGAAGTGTTGCCTTTGTCTAAATATCAAAGTGTAGTTCAGACCCTTTGACAACATCATGCAGACATAAATAGTACTCGGGGTATATATAAAGGTGTTGAATTGAAGGTGGTGTCATACACTTTTTCTATATTCTAACAAATCTAATTACTGGCAGTTGCACATAAATCTGACAAAGGCTAACAACAACATCCAAGCCTCATTCCCAAAAGAAACTGCACGTATGCAGCCACTCTCTCTTCAGAAATTTTAGGCAAAATATGGTATAAGATTCAAAGGGAATTACTTGACCATTACTGATGTTCTATTTAGGCATTAAAAAGAACAAAACATGTTAACTAACCTGGTGTATCTCATGGTAAACCAACACGAAAGTAACAAGATGGAGTGTTACAGATCGAGTCTCAATGTTATTACTCTTACTATTACTATTAGTAACATTAGTATGTGTTTCCTTCTATTAGTAATAGTATAGTAATATTTTGTATGGGTAGTTATGCTCTGTTTTGGTTAAGTTTCTAATGTAAAATAGACTAGGACATCAATAGTTTCTCACAATCTCACCAAGAATCTTGGGATGGGTATAAATAGAGGTTTCTATTCATTAATATTATCAATAGTTTTGGAGTTAGTTCATGTGTGTCTTCGGCTAGGCCAAGCACCAAAATTACTTCTCTGCCAAGGGGACCCTACTCTGGCAAGGGTGATTAGTTCTTTATAATCATATCTTTCATTCTTCCTCCTCCTCACCATGCCTCTAGCACCTGGTCCCAGTGGGGTTTCGGATAAAGGGCCATGTATGCCTTGCTTGGCACTTTATGTGACGTAACCATTTATGTCCTATTATCTTTTAGTGCCTAGGAAAAATTAAAAACATCTGAGGGACCAAAACAAGTCTTACCAGCTAGACCTTGCTGGTTTTCCCCTGTTGTGAACTTTATGATAGTCTCAGAGATTGTCATTATTTTTGAATTAAAGAGTGTACTTATCTCAAAATGATTGTCATGTTATTTAAGACTTGTGGTGCTTCTGTTATGCTTTTATAATAATGCCCGTGATCCTCTTCTGCAGGAACATTTTCCCAAGTGATGTAAAGGTATATGTTCACAATGATGCTGTAGCTGCTCTTGCAAGCGGGACCATGGGGAAACTTTCTGGATGTGTCCTGATTGCTGGTACAGGAAGCATTTGTTATGGTTTTACTGAAGATGGCCGGGAAGCCCATGCTGCTGGGGCAGGACCTGTATTAGGTGATTGGGGGAGGTAAAGTTGGTGCGTACTCATTATGTTTCACATATAATTCGTACAGAGATCAATCAGAAAGTGTACAGAAATTTGCCGGACAAGTGATCGAAAGGGCTAAGGGTGGCAAGAAACAGTGCACCAAAAGTGGGGAAATGAAAGTTGGGGACCGTAAGTGAAAATGACCTAGTCATGGGACCAAAAGAGGAGTATTTTATTTTACTGATTATTGAAGTGCAACGCTTGTATATGTATGTCTTTATGGATAGGGATAGGCTTTGTAGTTTTAATTTGAATAAATATCTCTTTCTAAATTTCATTTTATCATTTAATCGTTGTCATTTCCTAAAACAAAAAATCCAAATGTGTTACTACTCTCTTCTGGTCCTATATGTGTCTCTCTACTCTTGCAGTGGTTATGGCATTGCTGCTAAAGGTTTAACAGCAGTTGTGAGAGCTCATGATGGTCGAGGTGCAGAGACTATGCTCACAAGACACATTTTACAGTGGCTTGGTCTTTCTTCGCCCGAAGAACTCATACGGTATATATCTATTGCCACTTCAAAGTTTTTAATTAGTTATTTTATTGGACCCTCGGCTTATAGTAACTCTAGATCAAAAAAGGTCAAAGTTTAACCTATTTCTGATTAATCCTTCTGTTTCGAAACTGATATGCAAGCTTCTCTTGGCTTCCCTTGAAATGAATCGAGTGAAAAGCATTCTCCACTCTTTCGAAGCACAGAGCAGATTCCTTTCTTGGTTGTCCCAAAATAAGTGTCACATTTCTTTTTCTGGAAAGAAATATATGGTCTACAACATCTCACTTTATTATACTCAAATCCTAATCATAACTTTTACTTTTTCAAAAACTTATTAATAATCGTGCCAAAACAAAGTAGGACACATAAAATGGGACAATGGCAGTAATATTCTTGCGTGTCTGAACCCAATTAACCTTGGTGGCCGAGCGCCTAGGCGCCACATGAGCGGATGAGGTGTCAATTAAGTGTTTGGACTTAGCATCAATTAGGTATATTTGAGTTAATAAGGTAATAAAAAAAACTACATGAAGTAGCTTCCAAGTTTCAACAGGCAGCCTCCCTCCTCTTTGCCAATGAAAATAAGACATGCTCTATTCATTGAAGAGGAGGAGGGAAATGCTCTAGTCTATACTACCGATGTGAAGCCAGAAAAGAACTGAAGGCTCTAACGAAGGTGGAAATGAAAAATATTGCTACCCTTGTGGGATTCTAACAAACGACTACCAAGTAAAAGCGATCAACTTAGTTATTAAGTCAACCATCCATTACTTATATCATTCATCTATAGTACAAGTAAGCCAAGTGTTTGATTGTAAATTAGTAATGTACTCTACCATTTATATATGCCATGACAAATTCAAACCATCATATGCCACTTTCTTATCGGCATCTAGGTGGACCTATGCAGATTTATCTTGGGCTCGAATTGCCGCAATTGTTCCAGTAGTAGTATCCTGTGCTGAGGATGGTGATGTCGTTGCAAATGAAATTTTAAATAATGCAGTGAATGAGTTGGCTGATAGTGTAAGAGCTGTTGTTCAAAGACTAGGCTTGGCTGGTAAAGGTATATATTTTACTCCATTTAACACTTTACGTTCATATTAATCAGCAATAATTGATGCAATGGTTTCCCTCAGCCTTCTCAGACCTATCATTTTTCATCTCAGAACTCGTATGTTTTGCTCTAAAACTTGTCACTTCTCTAAATGCTCTGTTTTCACAAGTGATTGTTTTTATCCCAAAACTCGGGCAGCCAAGATTTCAGCTACTCAAATTTGGTGTGAGCGAGGGAAAAACCGAAAAAATCATTCATAACAATTTTCATAGCAAAAAAACATTCCGGAACCTCGGATGGGTTGGGGTCCTATAACCCTTCAATGTATGCACCTGCCCAAATGTATTAGTTTCTAGCTAATATTGATTCTCACACTCATGGTTTAACGCCGTGAGACTGTACCTTGGACTGAGCTCTGTGAGACTACCATGAACTGAGCTCTGTGAGACTGTACCTTGGGCTGAACTCTGTGAGACTGTACCATGGACCGTCTCATGCGAATTTCATGTAAGTAATTACTCTGTAGTATGGAGTATAAGTTTCATGCCTCCAACTCCATATTAGTTTCAATTTCAACTTGAGCCAGGGCAATGTTTGCTATAAAATTATATGTACACAACTTCCAGATTGATGATTATGAATGTTACGTCACCTATTTGTGCCCAATTAGCTAGTTATTGACTGTATAGATCATTATGATGTGGGCAAGTGAAAGTGAGTACTATGGCAATTGCAGGTAACAATGATTCTTTCCCACTTGTCATGGTTGGTGGTGTTCTGGAAGCCGACAGGAAATGGAACATAGGGGAGGAAGTTACAAATTCAATTCTAAAGACCTACCCAAGGGCTTCTATTATTCGACCTAAGGTTACTATATTTATGCTTTTGCTTACTTCGTATCCCATGAGTCTTCATTTATTTGTGTATGAAGGAGAGGCTCATCTTCTTTTGCTTTTCCCGACATGTTTTTGAGAAATGAATTAAGATTGACACTTGAAAGAGACGTCAAAATATTTTAGATACCTGAAATTGTAGTTTAGTGAAGTTATAAAGATTTTAGAAACACGAACAATTACTACCTCTGTCTTCCAAAAAAGAAAAAGAAAGAAAAAGAATCATCAGGCAGGATTTACCCTGTAGTGGTTGATGGTTTCCCCATCATAAAAAAAATCATCTTTGATTAAAGTACAACTTTTAGATTTCGGTACATTAGAATGGTTATAAAATATAAATCAAAAGTCTGCCACTATTTCGGAACATTCCATAAAAAAAGCAGCTTTGTTAGTTGAAACATGACTCTTTTCGGGAAATATGTTTTTCAAATGACTCATGTGTCCTGAAGGTACTCTTTGAATCCATCACTTTGCAATGCAATATACAAGGTAGTCTAGATTATGCCTTTGCCCAAGCCTCCTCCTCTTATGGGTATGCCGTGATGTTGTATGAAGATATTTAGTGACTCCTCAGGTTGAGCCTGCAGTAGGTGCTGCTTTTTTGGCTATGGATTTCATACTCAAAGAAGCCGAAGTTAGTGCTCGCAGGTGACCCTCAATACACGATGTACAGATAGTAATGATAAAAAAAAAACTGTATAGTAATTCAACTCAATTGGAGCGAACGCGTGTTTGGGCAGTTCTATTCCAAATCTGCATTTTCTTGTATTACAATTTACTATAGTGCCTTGCACAGTGTAACCCTTATGGCCTTATGGGTCATTGTCATCCCGTCTTGTTGGACACAGTTAACGTTTGGTGACCTCTTATTTCTACTTGACGTTCCTGTCAACCTGATTTTTTCAGCCAAAAATTAATGTTTGATTGTATGGGTTGGATTTGTTTATAATGGAATTAACTAAATTGACGACTTCACGGTTGTACACTGGATAACGTTTTTTCTTTTACGGAGTATTTGTTAAGATGGTGCATGTTAAATATTTTAACATCCACTAGGACAATTCAGCGAGTAGAATGAGTTCACAGTTTTGGCCTTGATTTCCGAAATTGAGCTATTTTAACATTTCCAAACAGGACAATATTCACAGTTTCATAATGTTCAATATCCTATTCTGCGTTACTGGAAGGGCTACATCTGTTAAAACTTGAGTTGCTTCCGGCATCTTCTGTTTCACCGATTTCCTTGCTCAAGTGGCGAGAGAGAAATTTACATTTTACATATAAACGTGTATAATGAATGAGTTGTATGTATGCGAGTTGCGACACAGAACTGAGAAAGGCCACATTAGCATTCTTAGCTATTAATTACGGTAAAATACATTGTACAGCCGGCTGTGCCGTGCGCATGGTACAACCGACACTTTTTTTGGCTCTGCGCTTCTTCGATCGATCTCGCTCTGGCCTTCATCCTTGACTTCGCACCAGCTTAAGATCTTGTCTGGTTCTTCGATCTGGCTTCGCACCTGGTTGATTATATGCTCACCACTTGTCTCTTTCTCTTCCAGGTTGTTGCTCGTCGTTGCCTCTCACCGCTCATCTCCTTCTCCTCTAGAAGGGACACGGCAGATCCTCCCTCTATCTTTCTTTTCACTCTTTTCTTTTTTCTTTTTTTCTTATTCAATTTTGGTGTTTGAGATTGTGATTTTGGAAGACAAAGGAGCCTACTGCAGATAAAGGAATCCCTACTGCTATTCATCTCAAATGAGTTTTATATTAAACTCAAATGAGTATACACATAAAAGAAATGAACATACACAACTGAACATTAAGCACATTAAAAATGAGTTTTATATTAAACTCAGATGAGTATACGCCTCAAAGAAATGAACATACACAACTGAGTATTAAACACATTAAAAATGTGTTTTATGTTAACTTAAATGAGTATAACGTCCAAAATCAATGAGCATACACGAATGAGTTTTTGATTTTTTTGATACTCATTCTGTAAATTATGTATGCTCATTTGGTACTGCTTTATGCTCATTTAAAATGATGCACATATCAAATATAACGCCCAAAATCAATGAGCATACACAAATTAAATGAGCTTTTGAATTTTTGGATACTCATTTTGTAAATTATGTGTTGGGTAAATAGCCCCGAACAGGAGTCCGACCCAATTACCCCCGAACCGACGTACGTCGCCCAGCCCGCGGATGGCCCTGGCCTGAAGGAATGGGGACGAATGTCTATCTCCGGGGTAACAGCACAAGGTCCCGGCCGAGGGTCGGTTAGCACATCCGTGACGAACGTCGTCAGACGAGGCCCATCTCCGTAGATGGCCCAGGCCCCAAAAGATTGTTACGTTCTCAGGAAGGGCCGCAGACGAACGGCCCCCGGTTCTACCAGACGATCGTGGTCAGGAATTAGGCGGGGAACCCAGATTCTGGCGGGAAGCGCATTTAATGCTGGAGATTTGGTGGTTGGGCCACAGCCACTAACAATCCTCCACATCATCAAGACTAACTGCCCATTGGCGGGTATAAATAGTAGCATTTATTTCATTGTAAGAGGTTGGCAACTTTCTATTCTTAGCATACTAGCTTCAGCATTCTTACTCGCAGCATTTCTAAGTGCCTTGTAAGACGAGCGGCCGACGTGCCTTTTTAGCAAGTAGATTGTACTTAGGGGAGTTATTACGAAGTTAATAATACCTATTTACATTGCCTGCTATTACTTTTGTTTTCCTGATCCATCTGATAGTTGTTGGGCTAGATATCCACTCACTCCACTCGAAATCTTTGGGCTTACGTGTTGGGTCCAAGGATTGAAGGAATAAACCTCAACACTGGCGCCGTCTGTGGGAAACTGAGCAAAAAGTTTCCAGAAACTCTCCCAAACAGCTACTAAATCTACCTACAGCAAACACGATGTCAGGAAGCAACAACCAGCGTGATCTCTCCGAGCGTCTGGAATCAAGCCGCCGGAATCGCGGCCAGAACTCGGAACTATCCGCAACGATATGGACCTCCGGGGGAAACGGGGGTATCACTGACCTCATTCCCTTGGAGGCCAGGCAGGATCCTCGCCTCATGCGGGAACTCGCAGACACCATGCGTCGCTTGGCAGACGAGCGGGAGGCCCGAGACCAGGTGTACTCTGCAAGTACCCAGCGAACGCCCCTCTCTCCCATACGCCGCATGCAGTCGTTTGACGATACGACAGGATCCAGCGACCACCGGCCCTCAGTCCACGAGCGGCTAGGTGGGGGTTCAGGCTCCCGTGGAACGGGAGGGCGAACCAGAGTCAGCATCGTTGCATCCAGGGCTCACACACCATCAGTCCCCCGCCAAATCCCGCGGGGAGACGAGACCCCGAGGATCAACGCCGTTGGACGACGTTTCCAACGGCGAGGTGCGCAGATCTTCAGACGGCCGCACGATGCTGTGGCCGCTCAGCAGAATGCCGTCCCCGAAGCCGCGCCCCCTGTGTCCCCCGGAAGGGCCGCACAGGATGCAAGGTTGGAGGCCATGGAAAGGCAGATAGCCGAGATGAATAGGCGGACAGACGTTGGCTCGGCCACACCCTCTTTCTCTCTCACATCTCCCTTTACTCCACGGGTGATGAGCGTCGAGATTCCCCGGGGCTGCAGGCCCCCGGGCAACTTGGTGTACAATGGGGATGGCGATCCCAAGGCCCATCTGATTAGCTATCAAGGAAACCTGTCCATGCTGGGAGCATCAGACGAGGCCATCTGCAGGTTGTTCTTCAGCACCCTCAGGGGGCCGGCGCAAGAATGGTTCGGCCAGTTGAGGCCAGGCACCATCGACTCATACGAACAACTCTCCCAGCAGTTCATGGCGCAGTTTGCTGCCAGCACCACCCCCAGGAAGGACGTCACGGCTCTCGCCCACATCAAACAAGGGCGGGACGAACCGCTGGCTAGGTTCCTGGTGAGGTGGAGGGACGAGGTCCTACAGGTCGACGATCTGGACGAACGTCTGGCCACCAACATGTTCACCAGTGCGCTGGCCACAGGGGATCTATACCGGGACCTAAGGAGGAATCCCGGCACCAGCTACACCGAGGTTCTTGCTCGGGCCCAGAAGTATGCCTCCATTGAGGAGGAGATCAGGCAGCGGGACGGAGTTCCCGCGGCCCACCCACGGAAGATGGCGGACAGGCTCGGGCCCGGGCCGGGACCCGGGCCCTCCCCCCCAAACAAAAAGAAGAGGACAGACGGGGCGATGGTCCCCTGGAAGGCTCCGTCCGGGGATACTCAAGCACGGCCGGACGACCGCTATGTCCCATTGGCCTACCCAGTGAGCCAAATCTTTGAGGCCATCAAGGACAAGGGCCTCCTAACGGAACCCCAGGATATGAATAAGCATATGGGGCACGACCAATCGGCCTACTGTGAATACCATCAGAGGACCGGCCACCTGACGGATAATTGCAGCCAATTAAAGAAAGCAATCGACGAGCTGATCCGTCAGGGGTACCTGGGCGAGTTCACCCAGCTGCTGAACAAAAACAGCCAACAGAAGCCGAACTCAAGGCACAAGACATGGCGCCGCGACGATCGGCGCGAGGCAGAACCTCAGGACGTGGATTATCGAAGTGCAGATAAACGTCCGGAGGGATCCCTCGGCCCGAAGGGCAAGAAGAAGAAATTGGAGATCAAGGTGATCTTCGGGGGCGCTGAGACAGGGGATACACCCGCCGAGCGGAAAAAATTTGAGAGGTCACTCTATGTGGGTTCCGTTTCAGCACCCCCCACCAAGCGCAATAGAGCCGAGGCAATTACCTTCGGCCCCGCTGACCTGCCAATGTCACCGGCGCCGCACAGAGACGAGCTGGTGATCAGCATGGACGTGAACGATGCTATCGTCCGTCGCGTCCTCGTTGATACCGGGAGCAGTGTGAACGTCCTCTACTGGGAGGCTTTCGAAGGAATGAGGCTCCGGAAGGACATGCTGCATCCCCTACGCACCCCGCTGTCCGGCTTCACCGGGGATTGCATTGACGCTGAGGGCACCATCATTTTACCGGTAGAGGTCGGTGACGGCCCTCACACTGCCCGGATCAGCATGACGTTCGTCGTGGTCCGCCTAAAGTGCGCCCACAACGCCATTTTGGGCCGACCCGGTTTGGAAGACTTGGGGGCCATATGCTCCGTACGACATTCATGCATCAAATTCCCCACCGACACTAGAGTGGGGGCGGCACGTACGGACCCACATATGGCCAGGGCCTGCTACACGAAGGCCATGGAGAGGCTCAACGAGCGGGAGGCTCGGGTCAACAGCATCTCCGAAAAGGCCAAACAGGCCGACTTGGACGCTCATCTGGAACCAGCAACTCTGCTGGAGGAAATTGAACTCGACGATCCGACGGACAGGAAGGTGTCCATTGGTGCGGATCTAGAGCCAGAAATCAGGGCAGGGGTCATAGCCGTCCTCCGGAGGTTCAGGATCTTGTTCGCCAGAGGGCCGGAGGACATGCCGGGCATCGACCCCAACCTCATATGCCATAAACTCGCCGTGCGGCCGGATGCCAAGCCTATACAACAGAAGAAGAGATATATGGCGGCCGACCGACGCGATTTCATCAGGAAGGAAACAGCAACTCTCCTCAGCATCAAACATATCCGGCCAGTCATCCACGTGGAGTGGTTGGCCAACGTGGTTCTAGCCCCGAAGGGCGACACTTGGCGGATGTGCGTCGATTACTCGGACCTCAACAAAGCTTGTCCGATGGACCCTTACCCCGTCCCGAGGATCGACCTGCTGGTGGATGAGACAGCAGGCTGCGAGCTGCTCAGCTTCATGGACGCATTCAGGGGCTACCATCAGGTGTTCATGCACCCCGATGATGCCGAAAAAACGGCATTCGTCACGGCGGACGGCGTGTACTGCTACATCGTCATGCCTTTCGGCCTGAGGAACGCCATGGCTACTTTTCAGAG